GGGTGAACTCTGTAGGAGTTCAGATGGGGATGGGGGCACGTCATCTCTTAACGCGTCATCGCATGCCCGCACGCCAGGATTGGGAGGTGCGGCCGTGCAACTCTGCGTGCAGCGACCGTACAAATAGTGGCCAATCAGTAGCCTCCGTTTGTTTAACCTAATCCGCCATCCTGATCATGACTAAGCTCCCTTCGTGTACTCTTTACTCACAATAACCCTACTGAATAAATGTTCCGTGCTACACGTCTGTATCCTCTGTAGCTGGGGTATAGCTTAGCTGGTTCTGGGAGTCTAGCTAGATGTAGGAGAATCTGCCACAGAGATTTCTGAGTCAGTCAGGCTTTACTAGTGTAGCAATCCGCTACAGGGATTATCATGGTCATTTCACTTGATCGGCGTTGGTGCTTCCTTGGCTATGCGTTTTCTCAACATTACCAGTCTCGGAATGCGATGAAACGACAGAGAAAGAATACTAAAATCCATATTTGGATGGATCACACACGGTTCTATATAATTTCTTAAGTTTTAAATGCAATGGAAACTGCTTTTCACCTAATTTCAGGTGACCTTCAAAAGGACAATCGTAGGGTGAGACTTCGATAACTGTCCAACGTATTAATCCGCCAGCGAGTGACAGAAAGTGAACTTATTACAGTTACACTGTTGATTTCTACAAGCCAACTTACTGCCATCCAAATTAGCAAACTTTTAAGATTCCAACTAAATTTGATTTCTTTGATTCCAATAACATTAGTAGAACTTTAAATTAAAATATAATGAAGCGAAGTAAACTAGCTTTAAGGTCAAAGTATTAATTTCAAGATTATTTTTTTCCTTTTGCTACACTGAGTGCATGTAACACTGTGATTATGGCGCTAAAGGGTATTTCAACACTTCTGTGAGAAAAAGACTGGATTTTTCTATTCAATACTTTCTTGCAAAAGCACCTGTCAAACATGTTACTCATAAGACGTGAAGGTGAATGAGTGTTTCTGTGTGTAGGTACCTAAATAGTGGCTTGTCATCACTCTGGAATATCGATGATGAGACATGAGTAGCCTCTAAAGAGGAGTTGCAATTTATGTTTCGCGACGTTGCAGGTACTGCTGTCGGTGTCGTTAAGTGCACGGCCCACGCTCCTTTGATCAGCTCAGTTCTTCCCCGTTCCATCTTTAACCAGTTAAAAAGCCTATCTGAAGCGCTACCGACTAAGATTTTGATTTGAACGTAAGGAAAAGCCTTCGGGTAGTGCCCAGACTACCTTTTATGTGCCACAGTTCATGATTTTTGCGCTTAAAAATGTCTTACTAATGCAAAATAGGGGAGGGGTAGGGGGTGTACAATAGACTTACCTCCATGGGCAACGTATACTCGTGCGGTAACAAGTCTATAAACTGGCAGTTGACTTCGCACTTCAAACTGCCGTGACCCGATTGTATGTCATATTCAACCACTTCCACAATACTCGTCTTCTGCATTCGTGAATCATTCTTCTATTCCTCCTTTCGACATTTTCTCACTTGGATGCTCCTCTCTTCTGTGAAGCCCGAAGTCAAAAACGACTGCCACTTTACGTAAAGGGATGTTAAACAAAGGTCTCAGTTTTCTCCTCTCTACTCTTCTGAGGTCATGATGAAGTCATCTAGGATCGTTTTCCGATGCCAATGCGTGTCAAGTTATCAACTGCAATGCAACTCCTTGGCATTTTGGCTTAGCTTTAAGCACCCTTTATTTTACTTTCTTATCTTTAGTTTTTTTCGCTGGTTAAAAAGAATTCACCTTTCTCCTTGCTATGCTAATCAAAAGCTTGACTAACACTAATCACAGGTGACGTGCTTTAACAACAAGACCTGCAGCACCTTCTAAGTGTTCCACATCTACTTTAACACCTAATTACTATCTCAAGCAGTCTCCTAGAACGCAGTTCCACATCCTGATCCAATAGACGCGCATAATATTTCAACCCTGGAGTGAGCTTAATGCCACCAAATGTGGGTGGAGCTAAATGAACACTGCTGCATGTCCTTCCTAAGTGTCAAAACCACATTCTTGGAGGAAACAAAGTCGAATAATAGCCTCCCTAAACTCCGTAAATTCTTCCACACATTAAAAATAAGACACAGTTAATAAAATAAAAAGCTCATTACAAAAAAGGAAAGAGTTGTGGGAGAATGACAATAAATTAACAGACCACTGCTAATCAATAAGACCGTTTTCCCGCATACGCTTTTCCACAGCGGCTTCCAGTTCTGCTTCCTTCCGAGGTTGCCAAGCATCTCCACGAAGACGATTATCTGCCCGTCTCGGTTGATCTGGTCGGTGATTTGAAGTACTAGGTGGGGGGTGGTCTCTTCTACGCTTCCGGAATTCCGCTGGCGGTACAGAAGCCGTCCAACTATCTACGAACCTTATCAATCCTGAAAACATCGATTTAATCTGTTCTAAAAATTGAGCTTCAACACGACCAAGAAGCTCTGGCAACCAAGTCTCCATAGCCTCTCTCATTCTATCCTTCGGTTGAGCATATGACAGTCTGCAGGCAATATGATGTGCCAGACATCCCGATGGGAACATTATCTGTGGTGGAAGAAATTCCATTCCACACCCAACTTCTTCTGGCATCAACGCATCAATGACATCAATTAAAGCAGTTAAATAGCTATACACTGATTCGATTTGTGCAATAATATGCAGATAGGCGAATCTTAAGGGCTCCATTCTTGCTCCAGAAATATTTCTGCCTCTTATGGACATTAACTTCCCATTAATGTCACTACGGCCTCTAACATCGATAATGGAACCCTTCTCCAGAAGCCTCATTTGAACAGCAATTGCACAGAGACTTACAGCCAAGCCAACTGAAGAAGTAGACAGATTCTCTGTTTCAGGACGGGCATCAAATCTAGCCCACAAAAAGAGAACACAAGCCACAGAGTGCAACCACTTTGGAATAATGGGAGGCCGATCAGGAAGATGTAAATGATGTTGGAGGAATGCAAATCCATTGGGGAAACCTTTGAGGGAAATCTGATCAAAGTTCACAATTTTGTGGATCATGACAGTGCATCCCTCCCGACGGTACTCTTTATAGGAAAGATTTCCATTGTTCTTGAAGATCCCCGGAAGACGGAAGGTGTTCGAAGGATAGGTATCAACAAGCAGACCCACCAAGATTCGTCGAAGAGGAAGACTGCACAAATTAAAGGGCTCCCTAGACTGATAATCCTCCACGACACCTTTAAGGACCATTCCAAAGGCAAAAAGGGCATCACACGCCGAAGTTGGGATATGCCCATTGCGGAAAGCCCTTAACAGACGTGGAGGCCAAACAGAAAGGTACCGTGGACTCGGTTCCCCCACAGCTAAAACATGTAGAGCTTTTAATCCGTAGGATTTATCTGAAAGGTTGGATAGGATAGGAGGGGATTGAGCCACCTTTGAAGGAGGAACATCATCGCCAAAAATGAAAGACATATAAGTTGGAAGATCCTCAAAGGGAACATGATAAGAGGCAAGACCAGCACATATAAAATTAAAGGCTTTAGATCTTTCAGATTTTGGAAATTTGGAGAGGATCCGATCCACAGGACCAACGATATCATTCCCAAATCCTGAGAGCCATTCAATTAGACGTCGAAATCGTGAGGCAGTTCTTGCAGCATTATTCGATGTTGCATAAGGCTGCTGCTGCGTTCCTCCAGGAAGAAAAGCATGAAAGTAATATGGAGGCACATAATCATTCCCATTGAGAACAGCGAATAGTGGAATTTGAATTGGAGAAAGGTTACGGAAGGTAATGCTCTCAGTTGCTGTATACTGCTCAGCAGAAATGTAGAAACCCTCATTAGACTCATGGGTAGTAAAAAAATCACAAGATTCTGTAGGGACGTAAATCAATTCACAGCCCTTGTTTGCCCAATAAGGACCAAGGATAAAATAGTCGGAGTCATTAGATATAAGGGGAACACCAAGATGCATTGCCATAGCAGCGGCTAACTGATCTGCCTCAAAATCGGCAACAACGTAGCGGGCGCCAAGTCGTTGTAGAGTTCGGAAAAATGTCATACTAACGAGGGTTGGTTCAATAGACACTCGGAAATCGGCTGAAGTCCCATCTCGAATTGGTCCACGTGTTGAATTTTCTTGAAGATGGGACAAAGTGATAATTCGATCCGTGCTTCGTTTTAAGATAGTATTCAATTTGGAAAACTGCAAAAATGAAATAAGAGATCAGCTAGCAAATTGATGGAAAAAGGAATTAGAAATCCACAAACCTCATGCAGGCCATCAAAGATAAATATAGGTTCAAGATTACACTTCTTTAGATTTAGTAAAAATTCTTCTACAATAATGTCGAACGCAAAATATTCGCCGTTATACTGGGTGTAGAGAGACGAATGCAAATATAACTTGCATATTATGTTATAGCCATCCAGAATTATAAATGAATTTCTCAACTGGATGGGGCGAAAATTGCCCTGTTCTTTTCGAATGTATGAGAAGAGTCCCCTCACTCCCATTGTCTGAGCCAATCAACCCCCAATGCACAATGCCTTTTATCAACCCAATTTATCCAAATATGTCAAGGCCATTTAACTGACTTAATCTATTCATTCTTAACAGAATTTTTTACTATGATTGTGGATTCTAAGAAAGCTTTATTGATTTTCTAAATATTTTTGTTTCGTTTTACGGCTAAAATACTCAATATCTTTATGATAATGCACTTTGTGAATATTATCAACAGTAGCAGTATCATATATTATATATTATATAGATATATATATTATATATTTTCAGAATAAACATGTTTATTAGAATGGTGTTTTGTGAAATAAACGGTGCGAATTTGCAACAATGTTTTGTTTAACTCGGTATGCCATATACGTTAGCTTCATGTTCATTCATTCTTCTTTAGTGTATTTTCCCTAGTAATTCGTATTTTTCTTAATTGTTTAAGTAATGGGCAGTTTCATCCACTTAGGCTACTCCCTTCATCTCCTATTGACCAACTTGTACAATCACGTCTTATTCGTAATAAGGATTTCCAATTTATTACAACCGAACCAGCTCATGCCTCCAAACAGGCCTTCGATTTGTTCAATTCCTGCGTTTTCCCACCAATTTCACAATACGGAACTATAATTACTAGACTTTTCCCAATTCTTCACAGGAGTTCTGTTTTCCTTATCTCCAGTGATATAGCCTTCACACCCTTGAACCTCTTTGTCCAAGGAAAACAAAAGACCCCCCAGGTTCGCATCCCCACCTAGAAAAAATCGATTACCAAGTAGATTTACAGGATACGCACTCATAAAACAGACGACTTACAGTTTTTTTGTCATAATTAAAAAGCGAATTTCACTGTTTCTAGTTAATGATAACCGCAAGAAAGCATCAATGCCACCTGATGTCCGAGGGAGATAATAATAAACGTTGCGAATTTTGGACTCCGAGATTCATCAAGTGGTTTATGTCTGGTGGTGGGTTGCTTCAGAGGAAATCACAATTTGATCCTCATCGAGTGAAAGATGTAATAATTTTCTCTGATTAAAAGGGACAAAATGAGGGGTAATGAAAAGCTGATTGGTCAAGAGGCATGAAACCAAACGAATTGATTTATCTACTTGAGAATCGCAGCTGATAGCACTCGTGTCTTGCACGTGTATGTGCCATGAGGTGAGATCAACACCCATAGCAATGGTAGTAGCTACTTCTTCAGAAAAGTGGTTTAGGGATAACAGCTCTCCACTTTCAAAGTACCTTGATTACTTTCCAAAGGGAAAATAGTAGATTGATTTGAGTAAATGTCACTCTTCTTAATCCATTAAAACACCTTCCGAACGTTTGTGTTCATTTTAGTGGGGACAGCTTTGCCAAGATGCTGCCGACGCTAAAGCTGTATATGGATGGCCTTAGCACGAATCTGATGTTATTATGAACTCTGTGGAAATATAATGACGTGACACCTGACGCGAAAAACCAAGTTTTCCTCTTCCTTAGCGAGTGTAAACCATTTCTCGATATTTTCGCTGAAGTAAACCCAAATATTAAAATGCTTCAAGAAGCTCTAAAATTTTTTGAAGCAATAGAATCCTCCGCTCCAAGGGATATAGGCAAATCAGAAATGTATACATCATGCCATCTCAGGTAAATAGTTGCTCTGACTTAATGTCTCATTTCGAGGACTCAATTTCTCTTTGGACACAGTCACATATGCCAGTCTATACTTATTATGGGCATTCTTTTCTTCATCACACACTCACCTTGAGCCAATAACTACCTTGTTGCATATTCCAAGAAACTGTGGATTTGGGGATAAATAGTAGTAGTAAGGTATTGCACCACCTTCACCTTCAAATTAAGTACTCGAAATAAGAACAACGAGGAGGCATATTCGGAGCAGAAAAAAGGGAAGCAGTAAGCACTAAACTTGTAATGTGATTCGGTGGCAGATTAAAGAACAAATGAATAAAACAGAACCTTCCACAGATTAAAGAATGAGGAATTGTATGAAGAATGTAGAAAGTTAAGTTATAATGGATAATCCATAATACTTCACTTAAGTCACTCTTGAGTGACGATCGTTAGAGTTTACGTCGACATTATTTCTCTTATACTAGAAAGGTTCAACACTTTTCTTCATTTCTTTGTGTAGTCTGAGTGATCACACAGACAATAACCGGTGGCAGTCTAGATTTCTTGGGTTGCATTGATTAGACTATAAGTCGTGGAAATCCTAGTCGTTGTCGCAGTGGTCAGCCTAAGCGTGATCTGCGAAATCACAGGACACGCTATCTTGCAGCTTGCATACCCGACTGTCAATTGTCTCCAACACTTCATGCGAATTTCAAATTTGGCTTTTAAACTTCTTACTAATCGATACATTTTTCTTACAGTTGTATCGGGTACATTAATTACTCGAGATCATCAATACATGTTTATACAAACTTCGTCAATAATCTACAATTTGGGAAATGGATTTTAAAGTATCCATCCAGTTTCAGCGCTAAGGTGACTGTCATGCAATTTTACGCCAAATATGCGCGCGAAATTCGACCTATCTCAACATTTCATGAGTCTGCAAGGTTTGCCCAAGTAACTTGCCTTCTACTGAAAAGAGAAAATATTGACAATGCAATAGAGGAGAGAGTGAGCCCTGAGAAACCGGAAACAGTGAATTACTTGAGAAAATTAAACGAATCGCTAGCAAATCGAGACAATCAACAAGCAATGCACAGAAGTACAAACAATATTCCGACACCTACTGTATGAATAAACAAAATTACTTTATTTTTTCGGTACTTTCTGCACTTTTTAATGTGTATAACCCTTATTACGTCTAAGGTCATAGAGTAAGGCAATTTCTTTATCCCATTTGACGAAACTCAATTGCGTTTCAGTGAGTAGATTGCTGTAAATATTTCGAAAATGGTCTCCGATATCAAGTGTAAATAACAATTTTAAAGATTGTTTGGCAAGACTCTTCTACGCAACTGTAATGAAGACGGTCAGATTTAATGCTTGCTCAAGGTTGACTCAGTTTCGTGCAGTTTTTCCACGAAGGTCTAGTTAATTAATAAAGTAATAATCACCGTTTTGCTGACGTATAGAGAACAGTGTTCAACCTATCTTGTGCCACTTCTCTACAACCTCAAACGATTGTCAAGGTGTCAGGAATGGTTTGTTCCAGTAAATCGATATGGGCGATGTGTGACTTAGACCCTACTTGAGGAAATTTCTCATCCTACAAGAACTCTACTTCTTTATCCATTTCATATTCATATTTATAGTTAGAGTCGCAATATATAAAATCATGAGTCCGAAAGCCAGTGGCACAAACCCTGTAATTTTATTTAAACATTAATTCCAATTCACCAACTAACTTGTGAGATTGGGGTGTCCGATAGACTTATCTTCACATGGTGCACCCTGTATATTTATAGGGCAAAAATGTCTATTAACTGGCAGTTGACTTCTGACTTCAAACTACCATGACCCCGCTGTGTGTCATATTACACCACTATACGGTACTCACAATACCATTTCTCTGCATTTATGTCTGCCTATCTCTTTTACATCTTTGAAATACTCTTCTGTTCCCCTCCCCCTCTCGACTTTTTTTCACTTTGATGTTCCTTCTCTGTGAAGCCCGAAGTCAGCTAAAGGGCTAATGATAACCATACAAAAAGTCTGCCATTTGAAATATAAAAATAATTTATTTATTTATATCAAATGGCAGGCATTTTGATAGTTATCATAAGCCCTTTAGTTGACTTCAGGCTTCACAGAATGGTTATCATTTGCCCTTTAGTTGACTTCAGGCTTCACAGAGAAGGAACATCAAAGTGAAAAAAAGTCGAGAGGGGGAGGGGGGGACAGAAGAGTATTTCAAAGATGTAAAAGAGGCAGACACAAAGGGAGGGGGGAACAGAAGAGTATTTCAAAGATGTAAGAGAGACACAAAGGTAGAGTGAAAAAGATGAGGTGAGTACTGTGGAAGTAGTGGAATATGACATACAGTGAGGTGATGGTATTTTGAAGTCGGAAGTCAACTGCCGAATAATAGACTTTTTGCCGTATGAGCATACGTTGACCAGGGTGCACCACGTGGAGGTAAGTCTATCACACACCCCAATATAAATAATGTGACATTTTTAAATTAAATTTAATTACCAACGAATAGGTTAGTGTGTTCATGTGAAAAGATCATTATCAAGGTGTTAATGATATTGCCCATTACCTAAGAACGGCTTTTTGGGAAAAAATCCATGCTGTTCACTACTTTTCTCCCCCCCCCCCTCCTCCTCCGCCCGACCCCAACATCAAATAGAAAAGTGCTTTTAAGAAGGCCCAATTCTTGATTGCTTTGACTTAAACTCTATGGACCCGAGCGCGACCATACACCCCCCCCCCCAACTTTCTACCCCTTAGACAGGCCTACGCCCGCTTTAGTGAATCTCCATGCTCCTGTTTGTAGAACATTCAATGTTCATTCCACATTTAAACAAAAACACAGTAACCATATTCACGTTTTACTTCCATTTCGGGGATTTAGTGATGATTAAATAGGAATGCAAATATGTATTATTATCGGGATAATTCAACTTGCCTTGTAGCAAATGGAGACAAACTGACACCTTACTTAGTTATTAATGGTAGTGCGCATCGTTTGTTATTGTAAGCAATCCATATAAAAGTGGCGCATTTTCTGTACATATGTAGAAAAATATCTTCAGAAACTTCCATCACTTAAATCTATTCCGTTTTTGCCGAGAAACGGGTACATTTGAATTGTCGACAGAGAGACTGATAGACGATAATTCACTGGACACATTTCTCCTTTGGTTTTTTCCACCTTCACTGTCGTCCTTGGTTCTTTTGCGGGAATTCAACTTAAGCAGTTTAGCCCTAGAAGAGAAGGAAAAGAAAGAAGGAAAGAAAGAAAGGAAATATTAGGGAAGAAACGAGTCTAAAGTGATGAAGGAATAAACGTACCCCGTAGACTGGCGATGCAGGTGAATGGAGAAGACAATCTGGACAAGATAAAAACAATACGTAAGCAAACAAATTATGAGCTATTTTGTTTGAACATTTTGCAGGGTTTAGGTGTGTTTGAGATCAACAGAAAACACATGTTGACCCTTATCAAATCGTATGACAATGTTTTTTCCCGTTTCTTGTAAAGCGGTGAAGTATTTTTTTTTGGGGGGGGGGGGCGAGGGGTAAGGTGTGGAAAAACCAGGTTTCTGGAGTGAAAATTGACTTTGCCATTCGCTTTACAAATCACTTGTAATTCAACTGAACCAGGTAGAAATCGAGCATGTGAAATTGACCATATTCAAGAAATCAGATAATGGGCACATATCACTTCCACATTTACAAAGGCGAAAAATAAAAAGAAAATTTATTGATTTGAAGTAAAAGTCTGGTTTTCTCCCAACTTCCGATCATACTTATATCAAATGACCGGCTCTCCGGTAGTTATCATTAGCCCTTTAGCTGACTTCGGGCTTCGCAGAGGAGGGGAACATCAAAATAACACCTTCTGTTAGGAGTCTAGAACCAAAGAAGCTTATTTTGAAAGAGGACCGTACGGTCTTAATTGCGTTACATGGTTAATAAAAGAAGTAAGGCAATTTTAGACAAGAATATGGGAAATTATTCGGATCTATTTACAAATAAATATCAGATTTCGATCAATTCAGCACGGTACTGTCGTAGTCTAGCGTTTTCACCTTTTTTACCAGATAACCACCAAAAGCTACCTGATTCCACAAACTATATGCATCTAGTAGATGGGACTTTTGTGGAAGACAAAATTGCGAAAATGCGTGAGGCCATTTCATTTAAAGGAAGTAGCGTAATTGACGTAAAGCCCACTGAAATAGGTAGAATGGTAATATTGAATGAAGAGCAAATAAATGACTTACAACCTGTGCCCAGCCAGCATAGGGTTGCCAGAGCTGGGACAGACGTTGGGAAATATGTCGATAAGTCTTGTCAGTTAAGGTGGAAGAGGGGGTGGGTGGGTGGATTCCTCGCAACGCCGCTGCTCGAAGAATATGTATGTCCACGGGGACAACCTCCACTTTATTTAGAGACGAGAGACAGATACAATCAGCAACCTAGACCGTAAATAAACGGCTCTTAATTATTGCCGGAACCAATGTATCGAAATGTTATGACGAACATCGCGTGCGCTAACACATTCAGAAGAGAAGTGTGCACAAGTGAAGTAAAAAGGTATGGATAAAAAGTAACCAAGGTCTGTTTGCTTCTCTATTGCTATTTTAGTGCATTTAACGTATTACCATGATTAAACCTTTAAATTGATCATTGATAAGACTAAATAATATGGATCTGATCAATGAATCTACATTTTACAACACAGTGAACAGAAATGTGAACAAATAATTGGCATGGTAAAGCCGATAATGATAGTATCAACTAAATACAATTATTGAGAAATGCCATCAGGTGTAAAGGAGAGATTGTAATTATCCTAACGAGTCTAACGAGCCAATGAGGTGCGAAGAAACAGAGCACCCTAAGTTCACAGACAGAAAAACTGGCTAAAGCTAATCAAGGTATATTCTTGTGATTACAAGAAAAAATAAATAGCGAAAAAGTTTCATGGATAGCCAATCAAATGAAAAGCCCTTATATAAGAAAGTGGGCACGTCAATGCTTTGTGATATTAATAAGGAGTGATCATCTTATTTAAGAAAAATGTGGCCAAGATTTATAAGCCAAAAAATTAAAATACCTTATTTCCGACACCTGGAAGCTGAAGAAGAAAGTTTTTACACTCTTCATAGGAAGAGTTTCGAAGATTTTCGAGGAATTCATCACCACCTGCAGTCATCAGCTTGCTCGCCACCCCACTGACAGAAAATAAAACAAAATTAAAAAAAACTTGCAAAATCTCACCGGGTCAAGCATTTGTAGGTAAACGTCACGTCAATAAAAGTTAACTTTCCTTCACATAACTACTATGTACCAACCGAGTTAAACACTGATTGAAATGTTACACAATATCAACGAAAGTCTACATTTTTCGAATTTCCTATAGCAATTTACGCACTTTTAGCGTAAAATTAAGCAATATATTGTAGACCTGACGAGTGAAATTAAATAAGCTTGCCACAAAATAGGAGGCAGTATACTAAAATTAACTAGCTTGAATGATTGATTGTAAATTATTTCAGTGAAGTCAAAAAAGTGCAAAAGAAACTATTATCTGATCTTATAATCTTTTCATATACTCATTTTCGTATTTGAAAAACTCTGATAAACGTACGGAATGAATTTTGACCGATAACCAAATCCAATATCACGAAGTTCTGGTTCGATGCATGTACGAGAAAGAGACTCAAGCGAAGGGAAGGAATAAATAGAGACTTTCCCACTTGACCAAAGCTCCTTACCATAGCGTGCACTTAATGCTTTAAGGAGTTTACTGATACGAGAAACATTATTATTTGCCGACGTAATGAACGCGAATATGGTCTCCCTAGGATCTTGATTAAGGAGACGAAGACCCTTAAATCGGTTTCTATCTTCAGAAGAAAGAGAAGAGTGAAAAAACTCGCGGAGAAGTAAATCCTGGTTTATCCAAGAATTGAAAAGATCGTCAAAGTGGGAATCAAGACGAAAATAGGAAACAAGTGGAGGAGGAAGTTGCCCATGGGAGCGAAAGTCCTCTAGCTCCTGAAGCGTGGCACATTTACCATGAAAGGATACGGAAACATCCGGAGTAAGTTGCTGAAGGCGCCACACACGTCCTTCTATGATACCGACAAATTCCTGAGTCTCGGAAATCTCGACCCATCTACGAAATGCTGTTTGAGATTAATTAAAGGCTTTTCGCAACCAAAGCGATTGAACAGATTAAGAAAATACCTGAAGGCCTGACCACTATTAAGAGTTGATTGGAGATTAAAAGTTTCTGGCCGAATGTTAGTCGATACCCATTCTGTAAAAAGGATTAAAAATAATAATATGCACATTTAATTTTAAAAAAATAAATATAAGAGTAAATACTCAAAATGCCGAAATTTAATTTCACGGGATAGCTAAGCGTATTTCTAGAAAAAAAGAAAAAAATGAAATTTACTGATACCCGATACTTTATCAATTTTTCGCGTGGGTGGGACCATTTTGTAAGTACCACTAATATTCGATTCTGTGATGCAAGGACGGCAAAGAGATTATGGAATTTATAGACATTCAATATCACCATTTTTATGAAAATAAATAAAATATGGTAAAAAATTATAGATAAATTTAACTCTTTATCAATTTGGGATGAAATGAATTGTTATATCTAGATCAAGTTGTTTGAGTTAATCATGATTTTAAAGTTATAAATTTCTGAAAAATCATTAAATATTTTCATAAACGTCGATTCATGTTATGGTGATTGACCACTGTATTCAGCTGAAAAATGGATATTTTTCGTTTCGATTTGCCAGACGCTGATGGATATCAATCATATCAAGTCATACGTTAATATATAACAAAGTATAATGCTATTAGTACACACTAAACAATTCCGTGCACACAATAAAGTGTACATATACATATATACCTATGATGTCCTTTAGTGAAATAATTTTGCAATTTTAATTTAAGTTTGTCGTGATGAGAATATACAATTGTTCCATTTATTTAAAATTTTATCAATTAGCGTGTGGAAGCTTACATGAGATTAAAATTAATGTAGTTAATTCATTTTATATCTTATTAGCCCATTGTTAGATATCAAAATAAACTAACCTGCGTATTCTTTTAGAGGTGCATGATTTCGAATGCCAAAATACGGTTGCTGATTGTTCACAGTTATTAGCAATACTGTGATCTAACCTTGAGGTGCATTTTGTCTCCTATTCCTCCTCTCTTTACGATAGTAAGTATTGTTTTTGATTTTTCAATTTAATTACGTTATTTTAACTTCCATGTTTGCACTTACTTATTGCAAATTTCTCCCAATAATATAGTGTTCATTTCTCACTTCAGACTCTTGTTGTTTCGACATTTGCCTATTTAATTCTTAGATGGTTTATAGATTTTGGGCGCTTTTTTAAATTATCCGAATAGCTATTCAAATATTTCTGTATTTTTTTTGCTTTTTGCATTTTTCTGCCTATATACTGAGTTTTGTAGATTTTCTCATTTGTTAATTCATTATTTACGCGTTTAGTTTTCAACGATATCAAATCTGCTGAGAGGATTATCTAGAAGTCTAGAGCATTCCAAACAGCACAAGCCTACTGCTGATCGCATGTTGGCAGTCGATTCATGTTTATAGATGCCTCTCAAACAATTAGCGATTTTTATTCGCTCAGTGAATTTTCTACCTTTTCTCAATCACAAAACATTTATTGCTGCAAGTTTTCCCTACGCGATACCCCATTTCTATTTACTTTGAATGCCTCTTAAGTTAACCTTGGGCAAAATCTATACCTTGTTTTGTATATACTCATCTTCATCTATTTGGACTTCTAAGAGCATTGTTAAGGTTAAACCAAGGGCTTATTTATGAGCATTTGCTATAAATGTTTCATCATTGTCCATCATTTTAAAGGTGTCCCAACAAACTACCAAACTAATTCTTGCCACTTTTTTACAAAATGCCAACACAAGCACCAGATAGTGGCAATCAAATTATTAAACCACCGGGACTGACCACCGACTACGATAGCGATATGGAAGACAATGGCTGGCGACTTGCTTTATCGAAGGTTAGTGCTCGACTTTTGCTTAAGTTATTGTTTTGACTATTAAAATCTGACTCGTTTAATGAAAAACCTTCATGTTATAAAAATTGAATGTTTATGCATTATTTACCTCGATATTTATTTATGTTTTCATTCTCTTCTGGGCTAAAAGCCATTGATTTTTGGAAGGTAGTTTAGCTGTTTTGGAAATGCCACTTTCCCATATATTTGCGCTATTTACCTAAAATCCGTCAAATAAGAATTATATCGGATCCATTAAAGTAGTTTTGAATTATTACCAGCGTCGTGTTCTGAAACAACAGGGTTAATGATTTTCTTTTCTGTATCGTCACATTAATATTATGTCTTGGAGTCTACCCATATTAATAATCGAATTTGTATTAATTTGGATTCTCTGTTTAAAACAACTGAAATCCTTACTCTTTCCGCGCGTTTTTATGGAAATAGATTAACGTATTCGGAAGCATTTTTTGAATTATTTAATTAAGCAATGTTACACATGCTTTTTGTTTACTGTCATTTGTCCCTTATGATGGGCTAATTTTTCCTTGATAGGGCATGAGGAAGCGCATGAAGGCCTTGAGGCTGGACGCAAATGACTTCCAGAAAGTACCTGCAGATTTGATGGTCGATTGGAAAACTCTCTCCTTCCCGCCGGATGATAGTACTTCTACTTTACGTGCAAAGTTCGACTCCGCTTTCAACAAATTTCTTCGTCTATCTTCCATTGAGACGCTAAATATTCAAATGGTGAGAAGCATATTAGGGCACCTTCGAAATAGTCGGCGCATTTTAAAAACCTCCTCCCCTGCAACCATTCTCTGTTTGGGCCTGGGCAATCCTGCTCTATATACCTCAAGTTTAAATCAATTGGCTTTACTTGCTGCCTTGGTAAAGCTCTCTGAAGGCGCATTTTTGCCTGAAAAGACCTTTATCTATGACCCACTGATGAAAAAGATTGCTAGAGATTTTATCCGAAGCCTTGGATTTCGCGTAAGTTGAATTATTTTCTTGCTATCCATTTAGTGTCTTTGTCTAATTTCTATTCCATTGTGTATTGGGAATTATGCGCAAAGACCTCCTAAGGCATGCCGAACATGTCTTCATTGTATCATACAATTTACGTCTATTCAATGTTGTCTAAGTCGTCATGCGTCAAGGGAGGGTTATCATATAACTAGATACCGAGTTGTGTTGGGTAGTGTTGTTGCTCACACGGAGAGTTCCTTTTTCTTTTATTATTACTATTTTTACAGGGTAAAATAAAGTGCAAGTTTTAATAATGGAAAATGATTAAAATACAGAGACCAGTAAATAGTCTATTGAGCGTGCTATTAATGATCGAATGCGATTCGGGAGATATCTGGCCTTGAATAAGTTCAGTCAATCATGAACATGGTGAGACTCAAACGATAAAGGAGGGCTTGACGATTAAATGGGGGGGGGGGTCACTTAGAGGTCTCTAGAATTTGCGCTTGTTCTTGTTGCAAGCGAACATCTCTTAGCTTGAGGAAATTAGTCAAGATGGCTAAAGCGTATGTTGCGTCAACATGTTTGAGCTATTTTAAAAAGAAAATCACTTTATTAGTCTTTATTACTCAAAGTGCTTGTCTTGCTTTTCTCTATGACTATGCACTAGGTCTCATAGAGCTTAGGGTCAACACGTCTTTACCAGTTCATATATTGATTTACTTATGACTGTTTGGTTTTGTAAAGAGTAGATACTCGACTGTGTCACTGTGTCACATAGAAAGTTTATCATCTTTCCATACCAAAGATATCGAGCCAATGAACTGGAAGTTTGGACATGCCATCTGTACTGCAGCCGCTGCTACTACGGTTTGTAAAAGAATATCACTAAAAGTTATAGGCACCACCTTTTAAACTCCATTGGCGTAAAACCTTTACTTAACTCTATAATTTGCCTTGCGTACAGTAGACCAGAACTGTTGTGAGCGTTAGCAGCGTCGGTGAACATTTTTCATTCAGAAAGGTTGTAGTGGAGTAAAATTTCCCCTTTAATTAGGCCTTTCTCTTGTAGATTTTATCGTCCAATTTTGAAGGTCAGTATCGTCTTCCCCGTGATAAAGACGTTTTCGTCTTCCTTCCCTTCACCCCAGCGGCTTTGGCAGAGAATTTAATTGCCATCAATTGGGACAAAGGGGTGCTTAATCGACTCACCTTCCTTTCTAATCCAATAATACCACGATCTGATAGTTCTGACCTGACAGCGACGCCTCATGTCTCCCTCCTGCAACCCTATCGACGCTTCGCAAAAATTGACACCAAAGATCGCGATTTTCGAGCGCTCCAAGTTGAATGGTTTGACATCCCTCCTGAAGTGAAATTAGGGAGCATTTTGGGGAATGGTGCTTTTTCTCCACTTATCACACCTTTTCACAAAGTTAAATCTTTTATCGACGGCGAGGATGATGCCGAGACTGTTAATCAATTGTCCTAATCTGCTTACTTGTATCTACCTCGAAAAGGACCTTTTTGTTTGAAATAAGAGCTTCTTTCGGCTCAATATTTGTTTACTTTTTGTCTGCATGACTGCCATTTTGTTTTTTATCCATGTCGCATGAATGCGTAGTTATGGAGTTTGAGTCTAGTCTGCACGGATTTTGCCTCGAAATGTTACTACTGTTGTCCAAAGGCATGAGTAGTATGTAGTCTGATAATAAACGTCAAAAATTCGTTTTAGATTAGATACAATCTGGAAAGATGAGTATAATGAGGAGACTAATGTGGTGATGAGGTGATGGTGAAAGAATGAACGAGCGTCGAATGTCCACGCGTTCGAATAGCAATGCGTCTATCTCTAGCAGTCTAACATCCCTAGATACCGTGGTTCATGTTACTCAACCACCAGCCATCAGAGAACAGCAGCAAGAGCAGACACAGCGGTCACATAGTCTTCCTTCTTCTACATCTACTCCCACCTCAAACTCTAATTCTAGCTGTGGGAAAACTGTTTCTTATAGTTCAAGTACGGGTTCATCTTACTCGTCAGAGAGTCCTCTTTCAACTACCTCACATTCTAGTAGTACTTCTTTTACTTCATCTTCATCATATGGCACCTATTTCTCCTCATCTTCCTCCTCCTGTCCATCTCCAGAAACTTCCTCAAAAATGCCCAACAAGGAAGAAAGCCTTAAAACGAAGCGTTCATTGACTGTTCATGAGTCGGCAGGTGAAGAGGAAATTCTGTTTTCAGAACCACCGTCGAAAGTTGGAAAGAGTGGAGAAGCGGAGGGAGAAGGGAACACCTGTGAATGCTGCTGTTGCTGTCAGGATTGGTCAAATGTAACCTCGGAATTGGTGGTTCTTGTGGCGTGTGGATCTTTCAATCCCATCACTACGGCGCATCTAAGAATGATGGGTGAGTGGATACTACTTATTTTTGATACTAGTAAGCTAAAGAAGTGTGCTTGTGCTCATTTATAGTATAGAGAAATTAAATTCATTTTTTATTTTCTTTGTCTTGACAGAGTTCAGATTTGCTTGATCGAGTTTGCTTTAATTTGTCAGTTTTACTTCTACTTAGTCTGCATATTCTGCTTTTTTTATTAAATGTGTAACAATTTTACACAATGGATTTGATCAAATCTACTTTTTTTTGGATGTATAACCTCCAGTTTGCATATCATCATTGATTGTTTCAGTGCAAGATTTACAAAATGGTTTAAATGTTTATTTTATTTAAAGGAACTCGAATTTCGGCTGATTATAGTTGAGCTTATGATTCTTACTTAGATTGAATTTTTTTCAATGTAAAATCAGAATTAGGAGTTTTTTCTCTCAAGCCGACGAATTGAGAATTATCAAGATTGACTCTAACCAGATTCATTCTTTGACCTCCAACCCCCCCCCCCCCCCAAATATATTGCTTTCCCATAAAATTCAGCAGATTTTTATTTGTCCAATGATTAATCTCTATCCTCGTGATACGTTGGAAGTTGATGGGGATTTCGGTCGCACTTATCTATTTTCATAGTTGAAGAGTAAATAAATGGTAATAACCAAGTTAAAATGAGTAAAATAACCTTTCAATATATTTTATTCATTTATTTATCAAATGGCAGGCGTTTTGATAGTAATCAATAGCCTTTTAGTTGACTTCAGGCTTCACAGAGGGGAAGGAACATCAAAGTGCAAAAAAAGTCGAAAGGGGGGGGGGAACAGAAGATTGTTTCAAACATGTAAAAGAGACAGACACAAAGGTCGAGAGTAGGGTAAGGCTAGTACTGTGAAAGTGGCACAATATAACATAGAGTGGTGTCATGGTAGTTTGAAGTCAGAGGTCAACTGCCGTATGAGTATATGTTGCCCAGGGTGCATCACGTGAAGGTAAGTCTATCTCACACCCCATATTTGTGAAAATCGGTCCGTAACAACTATTGTCTTCATTTGCAATGATAGTTTTAATTCCATCGACTTTCTAGACCCAGAGGAGTGAGGCAAATCGCTTGCAACCTTCGAAAAATCCCCATTTTATTAGTACACTTGTATAGGTTATATACAGGTACGGATTTATAATTGCTTTGCTGGTTGGTTACATCACAATTGCAATAGTTTTATATATCGAATTTTTTGGGGTGTGCGATAGACTTACCTCCATGTGGTGCACCCTGGGCAACGTATACTCATACGGCAAAAAAGTCTATTAACCGGCAGCTGACTTCTGACTTCAAACTACCATAACCCCACTGGATGCCATATTCTACCACTTCCACGGTAATCATCCTACCTTTTCTCTGCCTTTGTGTCTGTCTCTTTTACAACTGTAAACCACTCTTCTGTTCCCCGTCCCTCGACCTTCTGTCTACTTTGATGTTCCTTCCCCCTGTGAAGCCCGAAGTCAGCTAAAGGGCTAATGATAACTATCAAAACGCTTGCCATTTGAAATAAATAAATAAATAAATATATCGAATTTTCGTGTCCGTTATGTTTAATAGAAAATGCACTTGCCCTCTAAACTTTATTTGTATTTGCCGAAAGTACTAAACCAAGCTTCCTGAATATATTACAATTTTCCAGAATGTATTTCTTTTTCCTATGTGTACATATGACCTCTTGGCCTGTTTCCTGCTATCAGGTTAAGTGAATTTTGGTTACTTTTAAACACCCATCAAACTATCGTTTATCTTCTTTTTTTATTTTTCAAGTTCCAGAAAGTGATTTACATCTGTCCACCCACGGATGTGTGGAATGTGTCCCCACCTCTAGGCTAACCTGTCCACGGGTTTTCAAAAGTTGAAACGAGGCCAAAAACGACAGGTCTCTTGCTGTGTGCTTAACGGAGATCATTTAATTTATTGCCCATAATAAGGGGAAAATTAACAGTTTTCTGAGGGGAAGGAACTGTAGAGCAAACTGAATAAAGGAATGTCATGCCATCAAAAGAGCTTTGGAAGGATTCGAAGAGATTTTGAATATTTATTTATTTATATTAAATGACAGGACTTTTGATAGTTATCATTAGCCCCTTAGCTGACTTCGGGCTTCACAGAGGGAGGAAACATCAAAGTAACAGAAAGTCGAGGGGTGGTGGGGGGGGGGGGGGGGGACAGAAGAGTGATTCACAGATGCAAAAGAGACAAACAGATGAGTACTGTTAAAGTGGTCGAATACGACGCACAGTAGGGTGTTGGTAGTTTGAAATGAGAGGTCAACCGCTGGCTTGTAGACATTTTTTTGCCGTATGAGTATACGTTGCCTAGGGTGCGCCTTGTGGAGGTATGTCTATCGCACTCCTCAGCCATTGAATGTTGAAAACACTGGAATCTATATTCACTTGTTGGTGAAGCAATAGCAGAAAGATCTTATGATGCAGCAAGAACACTTTTCCAGTTTTTTGAATATTTTAGACCGGATATTTCTCTAACAATAAAACCTGCAGATCGTCTGGTTTTGCATATTTATGAATTTCACCATGTTCCAAAGCATATCAAGTATTTGCTGACTAGTTGGAAAAGCGAGGATAATTTCCCGAACAGATGTTAGCAGCGTCTGAAAATGGAAGCCTCACGAATTGTGAACATCTCGGCACTCCTTCTAAGCATAATTCTTTTTGTGAAACTGCCTTGAATTTTTATTATTTTGTGAAAAGTCTTCTGAAATTCAACAGGGGCTTCAATTATTCCTTGACAACTCTCTCTCTCTCGCTCCAATGACTCGCTAACTACGAGATGACATCTCCGTGCTTCCCAAGCGCGCAGTAATCAGTTACATTAACATCTTTTTATCATGTTCTGTATAAACTTTAAACGGACATTCGGTAACTGTCCTATCGAAACATCTCTAACCAAGGTGGTGGTGGTTGTTCCCATCAAGTATTTGATGAATCCAAAACTATTCGATCATGTACGATCATTCTTCCTCACCATGCATTTTAACTACTATTTTTTGCAGTCATGCGATTTTTATTTTCTTATTCCCCAGCAATCATCCATCTATTTTGTCGGGGCTTTTTTATACTCTCTTGGGGGTTACATTCGCCCTACCCCCCCCCCCCCCCCCCCCCCCCTCCTCCCCCACGAAGCTCCTCTTGATAATTTGAAGTAATGAGGTCTCCAGAATTTCGATAGCGTATAGTGCCTCTGTTCCGTGAATATTCTTGACTTGGCATATATGAGCGCGTTATGTTTGATTGGAGGGCTGTTTGTTGGGAAATGGCGCAAACTTTCTGTTTCTCTGCGCGAATGTTTTTCGGTTATTTGCGCTTTGATCTAAGTACGTCTCAGGAATCAGTTATTGCCGTGATATATCATATTTGGGGGGTGGGGGCAGAAAATTCACCATCTCACCATTTTTTTGGCGACTATCCATGTGCAGAGCCTAGACGTTTCGCAATCAAGATCTGAGGGTTTGTGCCGTAGGCCCAATTTTACCTTCATCTTTATTCTCGTCCAATTAGCTGGTACTATAGTTAGGGCGAGTCAAACTTTTTCGCCTCGTTCCTCTACTTGCCCAATTCTTTTAAATTGCATTCCTTTCCTATCTTCTTTTTTTTCCCCTGGATAAAAAGATCGCATCAAGGGTTTCTTTTTGCTGCCTTCGCACGCGGGGTTTTAGGTTGTTTGGTGGTGGTGGGGGGAGGGGGAG